GTTATGGGAGTGGGGAGTGGGGCTTGTCTATGTTTAGAGCAACAGAACCAGGCTGAGGGAGCCCCAGGAGGAAGGCAGACAGTAAGACGCTGGTGTGACTGGGCGCACGTCACAGAGCAAGCCAGGGCCCAGGGTGGGCAGACTCGGGGCTCTGGGCTCAATCCAGTGCTTGCTCCCAGCACGCGGTTCCTTTGCAAGTGGCTGCAGCACAGAACGCTTTGCAATTCCTCCAGTGTGTGAACCAGGTGTCAGACACACACCAGAGAGGGGGATTCCGGGCCACGAGGCTGGGACTAGTGGTACCAGGAGAAGGCTAAGAACAGTTTGCCCTGATGCCTGGGGCACAGAAGGGGATATGGGAAAGGGGACAGGCATTGCAGAGAGGAGGAAAGCAAAGAGCAGGAGTAGCGTGTTCTGTGTGTATGTACTGGAGGGTGTGCACATGCGTGTCCGGGCCACAGGTTTGGCCACGCCTGGGAGGGATGGACAGGCTGGCCTGAAGACAAGAAGGCAGCCTGAGTCCGGGCAGCTGTGCAGGAAGGCAGGAAGGAGGTGGTCCCTTGGTTGCTTAGTCACTCTTGGAGGAGAAGGGACACGTGAGGAAAGAAGCCAGCGTCCCCCCGCACCCCACCCCCACATGGAGCCCCCTGTTCAAGCTGACGGCAGCTGCGGGTGGTGGGAGGCACTCGAGGTGGTGAGGTGGTGGCTGCTGGGGAATGTGAAGCCGGCCCAGCTGAGAGAGACGACCTTGAGAGAGAGGAGAGGCCAAACCCAGCTGGTGTCTGGTGTCGGGGAGGGGAGGGGCAGGCGAGGAGGAGGGAGAAAGCTGAGAGATGCAGACAGTGGAGGGGGCGGGGCCGAGCCGTGTCCACCTCCTGTCTGTCTGCCTCCCTCCTTTTGGCTGGAAGCAAGAAGGACACAGACAGGGGCATGTGGGTGCTGGCCGTCCACGTGCCTGCCGGGGTGAGGGGCAGAGATGGGGGGCAGTGTGTCCGTGAGCCCCGGGGTTTTCCTGGGCTCACAGAAGCCACCTCCTCATTACCTCCCTTTCACCATCAGGATGTGGGCCAGCATCTCTGCGGGTGGCACCCACTCTACCAGCCTGAGAGTTGCTCTCCCCCTTCTCTTTAAAGAGCTCGCTCTGGGCGGTGGTGGGGGTAGTAGGGCGGGGTTACTAATCCATTGCTCCAGCAGCTGTGGATGGGATTTCCATTTCTCCCGGAGGAATTCCCAAGGAACAATGGCTGTCCCTCCCCTCCCCTGACTCCTGTGTTTTTGTATGTTGTCCTCTTTCTCCTGAACACATCACTCAGCCTCCCATTTTCTATCTGTAAAGTACAGACAATAATACCTTCCTCACAGAGTTACTGGGACTGTACATTCAATCCCACATGCCAAAGAGATCTGCAAAGTGCAAATTTACAACAGAAGCACAGACATTATCATTCAGTGGGAAACTAACAGGAAAAGGAAGCAGGAAGGAAGTCTAGGCAAAGTCAGGGTGGGGAAACGCTCCCTGGCTCCCAGATGGGTCAGCTCCAGCCCCTCCAGCAGCCCCCGCCCCTCCCCAGCCTCCTCCTGCCCTGGGCCTGGCTGTTGGGCTGAGGCTGGGCGGGTGGAGGGCAGTCACTGCAAACTCACCCTCACCTCTTTCTGAGGCCGCCTTCTGTGCTGTGACAGCCATAGGTCAGGGCGCCTGCCTGGAGCTAGAACCACCCCAGGGGCCACCAGATGCTGTAGAGGCAAGAGGCGCTCCCCTTCCCTCGGGGCTGGCAGGAGCGCCACCAGGGAGCCACCCAAGAGCAAAGACCCTCACCGAGGTCCCCAAGCTCGAACACAGGGGCTGACTGCCATGAAGGACCTGGAAAGTCTGGCTTTTGGAAGAGGTGGATTTTTTTACAAAACTTTCTATTTATTTTCAGCTGTCTTATTGATTTTGCACATTTTTTAAACTCCTTTTTTGGGGAGAGGTGATTAGGTTTCTTTCTTTCTTTTTTAATAGAGGGACTGAGGATGGAACCCAGGACCTCATGCACACACTCGACCACAGAGCTGTACCCTCCACTCTGGAAGAGGTAGATTTAAAGTCAACGCAGCGCCGCCCACTGATGTCAGCAGTGAGGTCCCTCCCGGCCTGAAGGGGCCCCCACAGCCCCCTCCCCTCTGCCCCCACCACCTTACTCTTCAGGGCTGGCTCACGCCCACCCTCGCCATCCTCCCAGGTCCGCAGGACAGAGACCCTCTGTCTGGATAAAGAGGTGCTGGTCTCTCTTTCCCCCCGCCAAGCGTCCAGCCCCAACTTCTTTAGGTCCCTGAGGAGTAAAAGCCCCAGTTCCTTCACATCAAGATGTAACAGCTGCTGGGAAGCGCTTGGCTTTCTCTCCCCGCCCCCAACCCTGGGTCTCGGGAGGGGTTGAGGGACAGATGCACTGCTGAGAATTTCTTCAGGGAGGTGGCCAACAAGGGCATTCTTTCTGTTCCTCAGGGTTCCCAGGCCAAAAATGGGGGATTAGATAGGAGACAGCTGCGGAGGCAGCAGGCCCTGGGGGAAATCCTTCCGGCACAGCAGCCGGGGCCTGGGGAAGACACTGTCAAGAACCGACAGCCTTTGAGCGGCTTGGAAAGCAATGCCTCACTGAAATGGGCTGCGAAGGGAGACTCTATACCTAGGTCTGGAGGGACCTGGATTTGAATCCTGGCTCTGCCGCTTATCAGCTGTGTGAATTTGGGTTCCTCCCTTTCAGAAGCCTGTCTCCTCATCCACAGAGTGGATGGAGATCAGCATCCCTACTAACTAGGCTGGTGGTTGGGATTAAGTGAGTTGATGCGCCTAAAAGCTTCTACTACGGTGTCTGGCAAATTCCGGGAATCTAGACATTTTTAGTCCCCTTCTTCACAACCGAACAGGGGTCAGATGACTTCCTGTCCTTAGTACAGAGTAACTTCGGGGCGTGTGGGTATGATGTGGCTTCTAGCATCCAGGGGCCCCGGTTCTGGAAAATTTCTTCTGCTTTTTTCATTGGATTATTTCGAGTCAGGGTTTCTTGCACGTGGGGATCTTGAGACTTTCAGCCGTTGCATGACAAGGCCTTGTCATAATCAAATAAAGCGGGATCTGGAAGAGGGTGGGATGGCGGAGGGAGAGAGAGGGAGCCTCGTGGGTCCTGGAGTCCTTGGATCCCTGGGGAGAGGAAGGGGAGGGGAGCAGCAACAACACCCGGCCCCTCTCATCACTTTGGGGACCTCCCGCTCCCACTCCCAGCCTGTGTGTTGGGTCTTGGTCCAAGCCTCAGCCAGCCACGTGAGCTGGGGCAAGTGCTTTATCTTCTTCAGTTCCCAAATTCTTTATTTGAAGGATGTGAATGATAATCCCTGACTGGTCTGCTGACAGGATTGTCCTGAGGCTCCACAGCGCTTGGAGAGGTGCCAGACAGGCAGGGGAGGGAGGTAAACGGGTTCCCTTCCATGTGGGTCACACCTGTCCATCCAGACTTGGGGACCACCTGGGACCTCCAGTGGTTGCCTTGGCAAACTCCTACGCCTTCAGGTTTCAGCTTAGACATTGATTCTTCAAGGTCTCCTGGACCCTAGACTGTGTCCCTTCTGGTAAACTCTCACAGAATTCTGTAATTTCCTTGTAGAGCATTTATCATGAGTTGAATGGTGTGGTTATTTGTCTAACACGTGTCTTCTGCTCTAGACAAAGCTCTGTGAGGAAAAGGACTATGTCTTTTGCATGCCATCTGCACGTGGCAGGGAGGTGGTCAATAAAATCCCTGCTGAATAAATCTATGAATCACTTGCCTCACCCCTTTAATGCCTCAGTCAACACCCAATGTCACGCACCCACGTATGACACCCCGTTGCCCAAAATGTCCTTACAAGAACAAGAGAAGGGTGACATCTACCCTCCCATTATAATTCAAGGAGCAAGGTGGCTGGGTCACAGTTGTCTTCCCATCTTCCCAGCACAGCAGGCGCTGCCTGGAATCCAAGGTTGCAGGTGCGTAATTGCTGTATTTATTTATTTATCTTTGCACTGGGCTGCCCCCTGGTGGTTAAGCATGGAAGAGAGCATGGCCAGGAACCGGCGGGCTGAGCCATCCCAGCTCAGAGGCTGGTCCCTGAGCCAGGAATAGGGAAGCGGCACAAGGAAAGCATCCAGGTGGAGACACCCGTCAGCTCTTCATCCTTATGAATGGCTCACTCCAAATCTAACAGGAAGCCCTGGGTTAGGAAAAGCGAGAAAGGTTTTAAAAGCTCAGTAGAATCCCCACCCTTCCCCCAGTGGGGTGGCCTGGAGGTAGGGGGGCGGGCTAGTTTAAATAGCTAGTCTTTCTTCTCAGTGGTGTGCTGGCAGACCCTTAACCAACCAGCTCTCTCTCTCTCTCTCTCTCTCTCTCTGTCTCAAAAAAAAATCTTAATGTGTAGCATTTACTGATTTCCATGGCATAAATACTCCCACCACGGCCAATTTCAAACTACCAATGTGATGTCACTGAAAGTGGAGCTGGGGAGAGATGCGCAGTATAGTGTTTCCCCCAGACAGACGCCGTGGATGTAAATACGTTCAAGCACACGATTAACAGTAAAACATGATAAAATAATTGGGAAGTGATGAGGATGGACGACGTTTGTTTTCAACATCATGTATTCAATGGTGAGTGTATATACTTTAATTTTTAAGAATAGCTGTGTTTAACAACTGGCCTGCAAAATTCAGGAAAATGTAATAACCAGTTCTTTCCAGCCTAGTAGTGAGAGTGGGCTCCAGCACACCACTGCTTCTCCCCCTTCCTCCTTGTCTTTCTGTCCCCCTCCCCCCTTACATGGTTTTCCTAGCATTCTGTATGGGTAGGAGGGATGGCAAATACAGGAAAGACCTTTATGCAGACCTTTTTGCTATTCTCTGTGCCAGAAGCCGTAAGGTGTTAAGGAAAAAGGATGGAGAAAAGCAAAGGTGGCTCCTGAAGGTCATCGCTGTATGGGGTAGGGGGGAGCGGGAATTTTTGTATTTGGATCACGAGGCTGATTGACGCCTGGATGAAAGACCACTGTTCAGAGACAGGGGCCGGGCCCTTGGGCGCAGGAGGCCCACGCCCTTGGCCGCCGTCCTCGAGGGCTCTTACCCGGGAAGGGGGAGGGCGCGCTAGGTGAAGCGGCCAACGGGGAGCCGGGGCAGGCAGAAGTAGGCGCTGGCGAAGAGGCTCAGGTTGATGGGATTGCCGTCCAGACGGATGTCTTCCAGCCGCCTCCGGGTGTGCTTGTGCTCCTCGGGGTCACAGAAGGTGTCCCTCTGCATGGTCTCTATCAAGTTATTCTGGAAAGGACACGCTGACAGCTGCGGGCCTGGAGGGTCTGCCCTCAGCCCAGCTCAGTCAGCTCCCCCTACCAGCTCTGCCTCCTCTTTATAACTGGAGAAACCGAGGCACAGAAGGCCAACATCCACACTACAATAGGGGAGGGGAGGAGACCCACGGAGGATGGATGGAGGGAGAGGAGAGATTAAGAGGAATGAAGGGGAGAGGAGAGACGGAGGGTGAGGGAAGGGGGAGAAGGAAGAAGCCATGGGGTGAGATGGGAAAAGGACAGGGAGGGCGAAGTGTTTTAAGAAGAGGAACCAGAAGAATTAACTGAGGCTGCAGACACTGATCCGAACAAGACCCACTGACGCAAGTCTTTGGTTGGCTTCCCGTGAAGGAGATCATTGCTGCCTATGGTCTGACCCCCACCCTCTGTGCTCTGCTCCCCGCCCATGCTCCTGGGGAGCCCACTCACCTGCAGGTGTAGGGAGCGCAGGCTCAGGGGCAGGGGCCTGGGGATGGAGTCCAGCAGGTTGTCAGCCAGGTAGAGGAACTGCAGTTTCTCCAGCGCCTGGTGGGGGGTGGGGGGGCAGGCAAAGGGGGTGGGAGGCTGTGGGTGCTGTGGGGCCCTGGCAGGGATGTGACCCTGTTCGTTCGCTCAGGGTCTCAGTCACGTGCCAGGTTCCAAGCTGGGCACCGTGGGAGGGGGGCAAGGAGGTGGCAGCAGGGGGTACAGCGGGGACAGGGGAGGCCAGCTCACAGGCATTGCCTCCCACTGGGTGCACAAGGAAAAGTCACTGCTAGGGAGGCGCCAGCGTTTGGGGACGGAGAAAGAATGGGGAGCAGACAAGGGGCAGGGATCTTTGCTATGAGAAGGAGTTTTCCCCAATGAAATGTCTCCAGATGCTCAATCTGGAGCAGCTATGGGAAGCGCAGCCAGGAAGTATTCCGGCCAGCCGAAATGAGAGCCCCCGGCACACCTGGGGCAAACCGCGTGCGTGCCTGTGACGGAGCTGGGGTGTCCATCTTGTCCACACCCCTCTTCACTTCCTCACCGGAACTGGCCCCAGGGCTCTTCTTAGCCCTGAGGAGTGGGCCGCCCCGGGGAGTCACGTGTGTGCCAGATGTTAACCCTCCCCATGAAAACCGGCCAGCCAGTGACCAAGCAGCTGGTCTCTCTTGAGAATCTGATCATGGAAGGACAATGATCGGTCAGCTAGCAGCGGGCTTTGGAAATAAAAGGATACGAGTTAAAGCTGAGGCCAGGATGACTGCAAGTCAAGTCACCTGTAAGTCAGAGTTTCAGGGGAGCAGATGCTCAGTGTGTGCAGGACGTTGGTGCACAGAGATGTGAATGCAGCAGGTGCAAAGAAAGAAGTCAAGAGACCATGTGCCCCAAAGAGGGAGACGGAGAGTGGCTGACATTGGTTTCTGACACCACCCAAGCCCGGGGCCCAGTAACAGGCCCAGGAGGTCTAGTTCCCTTTTCATAGAGGTTTCTGGGATGGCATATTGTATTTTGAGGGGGAGGGTAATTAAGTTTCTTCATGTATTTTTTAGTTAATTTTTTAAAATTTTATTTGTTAGTGGTGGTACTGAGGACTGAACCCAGGACCTTGTGCGTGCTAAGCACGCTCTGTACCACTGACCTATACCCTCCCCCTGGGATGGCATGATTGTGAAACACCCTTTCCTTGAATCAGAATCAGTTTCCTGCAACAAAAAGAATCTTTAATAAACAAATGGGAATAGATGGGGGGAAAATGGGGTTTGATTTTTGTATCCCAGCACAGCGTTGGAGCTGAGATACCCCATGAGGGCAAGGTGTGCGCGTGTGTGTGTGGTTGTGGGCAGGGGTGGCAGGGGCAGGTGGCAGACCCATGGCCCTGGCTCACCCTGAAGGCTTCAGGCTGTATCCCTGAGCTCTGGAGCCGGTTCCGGCGGACGTCCAGGACCTCGATGCCTGCGGGCAGCGCAGGCAGTGCTGCCAGCTGGTTCTCAGGGAGGATCAGACCCTTCAGAGCAGGCAGCAGGCAGAGGGCATTGTCCTCGATGGAGGAGATGACATTGCTAGAGAGGTCAATCCTCTTCAGTTTGGCTAAGAGGTGCAGGGTAGAGCAGAGAGATGCAGGGCACACCATCTTCCCCTGCCGGAGCTGCCTGGGCCCGGCTCCCTCCCTCTCAAAAAAGGGGATGCTAGCCAGCCATCTGCCCGCCCAGGTCCAAACCAGAAGGAGTAACTTTGTAGACCTAGGAAAGCCCTCAGACTCCGCAACACTCGCCCCGGAGTTCTGTCCTGTGCGGTGGTTGCCCACCTCGGCTTGGCTTGGCAGAAGCTTTGTGAGGGTAAAACCCCACAGGCCCAGGCTTCCCTGGATCCACCCCACCTCCACCTGTCAGTTTACATGGAAGGACACAGAGGACCAGGAAGGCTGTCAGTAATCAGTGGCAGAATGTGGCCTAGAGACCCGGTCTCCAGATTTAGCGTGGTCTTGTCCAGAGGCCGGGAGGGGACGGAACCACAGCTGCTGGGGTTTCCTGAAAACGTAGGCTTGACTGTACCTCCTCCTCCCCAGCTTCCCAGAGCCACTGGGAGAACAGATAAGAACAGGTCGCTTCTGCCATCAAAAGCCTTCAAGGAAAGGAAGTAGAGAGACTTGGAGCTACTTCCATTTGATCTCTGGGGAGACTGAAAGCTAGCAGGGAAAGGCCAGCCCCGGTGGGGCACCCGTCTGCTGACTGTTCCCTGGGGCTGGGTGGCAAGGGGAAGAACCCCGGGGGCTCCCTCTGCCCGCCCACTCTTTTCTTCTGCCAGGACATGACATACTCAGCCCTCTGAAGTCCCCGGCCCGGATCCGGCTGATGCGGTTGAAGCGGGCATACAGGTAGGCCGTCGTCTGGGGAAGGGGCGGGATGCTCTCCAGGTCAATATCGTCGCAGTACACGGAGGAGCCAAGGCACACACAGACCAGGCAGGTGGGCAAGCCTGCAGCAGGTGGTGGGCAGAGCAAAGGGAGAGCCCCCCTCCAATGTCAGACCCCCTTCAGCTTCTAGGACCAACGACCCTGCCCCAGGGAGTGTCGGAGCCATGGCCTTCCGCGTCCTCTTGG